AGGGCAATTCATTATGATACGCCTTGCTCCCCACTGCTTCTCCCATCCTTTGAAGTTGTCCTTGTTTGGAGAGCTCAAAACAAAAATGCCCCATCCCTTTGGAGGTAAAGCGTGGTGAGGTTCACTTCCTTGCTTTGCCACATCGTAGATTATGTATCCCCTCACAGTAAGAGAGAGGTCTACCACAGCACGCCTTCCCTCTTCGAGGTTATCGTAGTACCCCACGCGTCCTTGTCCTTCACCTTTGGTTTTGTCAAAGATATACACGAAATCTTTAATGAAGTATGCAACAAGAGGAAGTCGTTCCTTGTCATAGTGCAGCAGTTGGTAGAGGAGATACGAGCCAGTCCCCATTGATTTCCCTATACCAGGTGTGCCAATCAAAAGACGCTTTTTCGGTCCCTCATCGTCCCCACCACGACTCTCAAACCATTCGTCTACATCACGCTTAATGATGCGCCAAACACGTTCCATCTCGCGGCCGATGTGGCAGTCGCAACTGGCTTCTGGCATTAACCACGTGTACGGCCAGCCTTTTTCAGAATTGAGCACCATTAGCTCAGCAGGTGGTTTGTTCGGATCCGCCATCCCCTCTGCACTGGTGCCCTCTTCGTTCTCACGTGGTTCCTTCGTCTTCGCCATATTCTCCCTATTTGCGTTACTCCCGTTAGTACCCACGGCACCACCAAGAGGAACATAGCCCACCTCTTTGTCTGTCCATTCCCTCGACGGTTTGCCTTTCCTCACCCTCATTCCGACTCCTTCACTGTCACCAGGGACTTTCATCACATGGTTCCATGTAGCATTAAATACAGACTCGTAGGCACCTGACAGAGATTCCCCTACTTTTTGGCGTTGCTCTTCTTCCCTCAGTTTTCGTCGACGTTCCTCCTTCTTCTCATAGCTCCGTATTGCGTCAAGGGCTGAATTTAACACTCCCCTCACCAAAGGGATAACTTGCTCCTTTTTATCATACACGTCCCACTGTCGGAGAGAATATACGCCTTTGTTTTGCAGTTCGTACACCTGACATGTTGGCATCGCAAGTATGACGTTCAACAGCCTCTCGTCTTTTATATATCTCGTTGGTCTGATAGCAAACGCATCCATACTGGCATTCTTATTCACTTCCTCGACACCCATGCCATCAAGGTATTCGGTAAGAAAGTCTTTCAGCTTCATATTCGCCGGAGGAAGATTTCCTTGTAGCAGAACTTCCTCCACTGTGCTGTCGAGAGTCCACCTGGGTTTATTAGCAGTCTCCGTTTTTGTACGTGACGCTGGGGGCTGAACATCGCTGTTGTCTGAACCTGTTCTTGTTCTCACTCCTCTACGCGGCCGCTGTGGCTGCTCTCGCTCTGTGGCCACGGTGTCTCCTACAGGAGTCTTTCGCCGATTCTTCCCTCTTTTTGGAGGCATGATTCTCTGTGGTTTACTCTTACTTAACGAAACGAAGCAGAAACCGGGCAAAGTGAAGGTGAGTGAATGAAAACAGAGAGAGAATGAAATGGTGATGCGCCACAGCGAGGTGCCTAAACACTGTTATTTGCGGACACTCACAGAAAGACACACACACATACCACACCGCAGAGAAAAACAACCATCCTGAATAAGTCAGAGTCACCAGACGCAAGGAACAGAGGGAATCCACACAGCACTGCAGGAATGAGCGTTGGTGCCGCACTTTGTATTCTCCAATCCACACTCTCACTTCACATTCCCCCCTCGTCCGCACACCCCGCTTCTCTCTTCATAAACATACACATGCTGCACCACCCACGTCTGTGTGCTCTCTCTCGGTTTCTATCGTCAACACTCACAAATGCAGGGGCGTGCCGAACATCTTCCAGTGAGATGCAGTGAGGATTCCCCCAGCAACTC